CTCCTCCAGCCCCTTCCTCATCCCTGTGTCCCTCCTGTGGACACTCTCTAATACCTTTGTACCTTTTTTCTATGGTGGTGCCCAAAATGACAATGGACACCTTAAGGATTCGGTCCTCACATGGCATCAACTCAAGATCAGCACATGGTAAGAACAGACAGTACAGTCCTAAGCACATTTAATTATCAAACTTCCACCCAAAATCGCAGCCTGGCCACCCTTTCTTGAAGTTCAAGTGGTTCAAGAACACGTCTGCTTGGCTGCCCTGCAAAATATGCACTTGAGGAGGAAAAACTCCCCAGAAAATCCACTGGGGACTGATGAACATAAGGACCTGGAGCTGCTGGAGCAAATCCAGAGGAGGCCCCGGAGCTGCTCCAGGGCTGGAGCCCCTCAGTTCCCAGGGATCCAGGCTGGGAGAGCTGGGGGTGCTCAGCTGGAGAGGAGAAGGATCCAGGGAGAGCTTCCAGCACATTGCAGGGCCCAAAGGGGCTCCAGGAGAGCTGCAGAGGGACTGGGGACAAGGGATGGACAGGACACAGGGAATGGCTCCCAGTGCCAGAGGGCAGCCATGGATGGGATCTTGGCCATGAGGAATTCCTGGCTGGGCTGGAATTGCCAGAGCAGCTGGGGCTGCCCCTGCATCCCTGCAGTGCCCAAGGCCAGGCTGGACACTGGGGCTGGAGCAGCCTGGGATGGTGGGAATGTCCCTGCCATGGCATTGAGATGAGCTTTAAGGTCCTTCCAGCCCAAACCATTCCACAATTCCATGATGACCCCACGACCCCAAAAAGGGAAACTGACTCTGTGCAAACACAGCAGGTACGTGGGAAAATCCCACGAGAAAATCCCACGTCACACTCGCAGCCTCACATCAAAATTTGTGTTTTCTGGAGGGAAAAAAATTGCATTTCCAGCCCAACTACACCAGAGAGATTTGCCTGCCAGTCTTTCAGGTCTAGAGCACCTCCAAGCTGGGTTTAAATGCTGATCCCACACTTGCCTCTCCACACTGACAGAGCCTGCTGAACAGGCCAGGAGCTCTCCGTGTCCCCTCCCACACGGGCAGAGGGGACTCTGCACACCCCCAAAGAGCATCCTGGAATTCCAGCCCTGACCCACCTGACCCTCTGTGCTTTCCCTGCTTTGAGCACGGTATGAAAATCCTGAGGGAATTCCAGCCTTCCACAGCTCCTATCAAAACCCTATAAGCTGAAAATGGACCGTGGATTTTTATTTGCTGCCACATTTTGTTCTTCAGATGTCTTTCACGTCTCTCCACCACCACCTCCATCTGCATATGCTTCTGATTATCAGGGCTGAAGTATTCCAACCATTCCCAGGGAAATTCACAGTTTCCTTCTGGAGCAAGGGACCAAAATCACGATTTACCCCTAAATCCATGGGAATGCTCATGATGCAGAATTCATTAAGCCTGAAAATAACCCAACTTTCAACCCAAAGTGACCACAAGAAGAGCTCTGAATCCACCAGCTCCTTCTAGGGAGGGAAGGGAGCAGCACCGTGAAGTCCCTTCTCCTTCCAAAGGGAAATCAGGAGCTAAAGGATTTCCCTGGTGCCCAAGGAAGCGGCTGCAGAAGCAGCAGGAGACTCTAAAGGCTGACACCAAGAATAAACTTCTTCATTTACACAGCACTCCCCAGCATAAATAAAACATGGGCACTCTGGGCTGTGGTTTTGCAAGTATTTTTGACCCAGAGTATGAAGTTTTCCAAGTCATCCCTGTTTGATTCCTTTAATTAGATGGTTATGTAATGAACAGTGGGAGGGACTCAGTTACTTCTGGATTGGCTTCCTTGGTCACACTGATCACAAGCAAACGTGGTCTGTGAGTGAAAATACACTTTCATGGGTCTTCCCTGCTGTATTTGAGGTCAGGTGAATTTTGTAGGTCTGAAAAAGTTGAGTTTCCCTCCGAGTCGCTGCAGGATCTGAGCAACCCATTTATTATTTACAGGCACCACAGGCAGCACACAAACAATTCACACACCTGCCAAACAAAAACAACAACAAAAATAATGCCCTAAACCAAGGAGACTCCTGCTGCCATCCTCCAGCACAAAGCCTGGCTCCACACCCCGGCTAAAGCAGCACAGTCCCTGAGAAAGGGTGGAACACAGGAAGGGAAGGAGACGCTGGAATTCCCAATCCTACTGAGACAGAATCCACCTGCCAGCCACAGCATCCTAAGAGTTTTTGTACAGCTACATCTTTTTTTTCCAGGAGGGGAAAAAACCAAGATGGAATTTCATTGACATCAAAATGTCAGCGCGGATCAGAACATGCTGCGAGCTCCACCAAACGCAGCCCGCAGCTCCCCGGGCTCCATCTGGCAGTGCAAGGGATTCCCTCTTGGACTTCTTGGATTCCTTCTTGGAATCTGGCAAGCAACTCGTCCACAACAAACCCAGAGCAGCCTCAGAGTCCTGCCCAAAAAACCTGAGCTCTAAAAACCTGCGAAAAACCTCTTATACTCCTGGTGAAACACAGGGACAGCTCCTGGCTGTAGCTGTTCCCAAAGGATGAGGGGCTCTGAGGTTTCCCAGGAATTGGACAAACCCCAGCCAGCCCTCCTGGTGGGACTGTCCACCTGGCAACTGGATCAGCCCTCAGTTTTGGGGGGAAAAAAAAAGCAGAAGGGCCAGAATTGGGGAATACACAAATATTGAACCCCACTGCAATGGGCACAGAACAAATCTGAATTTCCCCAAAGCTGGAAGGTCCTGGATGCTGCAGGTGAGAGGTTCCTCCTCCCTGGCACAAAGCCTTGCACAATTCTGGACCTTAAAACTTTTCTCACACTCCACTGCAACCTTTAGGCTGGGGAGTGGTGAGGGCTTCTGGTGGGAGTTTTAGTTTGAAGAGATAAAAAAGTCACCAGTGATGTTCCCAGTTCTATAATTTGCAATATTTGGAAACCACAGGGGTTTTGCCAGGATTTATTTACCTGGTTTGGATTCACTTTGGGCAAAGTGAGCTGATGAAGAGATTCACGAGAGCAGACACACAAATTCCATCACTAAAATAAGTGAGAAATGGATCAGGGCAGGGGTGTGGATCTGCACCCAACAGTGGGAAAGCACTAAAATGACCTAACAAAAAGCTGAATTCCAAGCCCTAAGAGGATGGATTCCCTTTAAACACACACAGGGACAGGGTTCCACTTCACCCAAGGGAATGGCTGGAGCTCTGTCAGGGGTTTTAGGCCAGATTTTGGAAAAGGTTCTTTCCCCAGAGGCCAGTGAGGCACTCAACAGTACCAGTAAAATCCTCACTGTGCAGCAGAAGTTGTTCTAAAACCCCAAAAAAAGTGGTTTAAAATTATTTTATTAAATATCTTGGGCACTGGGTAATGGGTAACACAAAATATCTGAACTGTGTGTTTTTTTCCCACAGATCAACTTCAGAAGCAGCCTAAGGAAGATAAAGTCCAAGGCTGAATTTCACAGAACTCCCTGCACCAAAAATCATCAACACAACCCCACCACTCCTCCTGACAGCACAAAGTGTTCTTATGTAGAAAAGAGTGGATTAAATTTTCTTGGTAAAAGGGATTCAGGAGCACAGCAGAGTTCACTGTGCCCTGCTGCCTTCCTGGAAGACAACTTCCCAGATCAGAGAAAGGTAATCCATAAAAAATAATAATTCCCAAACCCTTCAGGAGAGAGAAACTGCATGGAAACCTCCCTCCTTTGGAAAAGCAATGGAAATATTCCCAGAGCTTGTGCATGCACCTGGCAGAAGTTGGACATGACCAGCCTAGAAGGGGGATGGACACCAAGAGTGGTCCCAGTGCTCCCAGTCTGGGCTCCTCCACTCTCCTGGGGTTCCCTGGTTTCCCCTACAAGCCTGAAATATTCCAGGCCTGAGGTTAAATTGCCCGGTTTTAGGCTGAAAAAAAGGTGATCCAGGCTCCTGAGAGACAGAAAAGTGATGAAATCCCAACATGTGAAGAATTCCTCACACCAAGGCGCCTGTGGGCTGCAGGTGGACATCAGAGCAGCTGAGCAGGCTCGGGGCTTCTGTCCAGGGAATTCCAGACAGTTAATGGCAGGAAAAACCCCTGGGTGGCCAAGCTCCCTTGGGAGCAAAGTGGCCTTTGCTCATGGAATCGTGGAGTTGATGAAGTTGGGAAAGCCCTCTGAGAGCACTGAGTTCAGCCACCCACTCAGCCCCACCGTGTTCACCACCAAACCACAGCCTCAGGTGCCAAATGGGACAATTCCAGGGGTGGGGATTCCACCACTTCCCTGAGCTTAACCCCCCAAATTTGCCATTTTCCTGGTGGAGCAGCACAGAGGTGCAACCTCCCATCCACACCAAGGATTCTCACTGGCAGGGCTGGGTTTTCCAGGATGGTTTCATTTAATTTCTGCAATGGGGTCTTTGCTGTCCTGGCCAAGTCACCTCTGCCAGACCACACGTCCCCTAAATCCTAAAATATTCCAAGGGCTGCACAAAACCCACAGAGGATGAGGCTGAGGGCTCCCAGCTCGCTGTGTTTATGGCCTGTGCACAAGAGGTCATCACAAAACCTCACAAAAATGATGTCAGGCTCGTGGAAAACAACCAGGATGCAACAAAACTCCACAAAAACCAACTGAGACGCTCTGCAAAACACCAAACACACCAGGAGGAAGATGAGAGGATTTAAATGAACACTGTGCTGGGACACTTGGTGGAATCACGGAGTGGTTTGGGTTGGAAAGGATCATAAATCCCATCCCATCTTCCCACCATCCCAAGTTGCTCCAAGCCCCATCCAACCTGGCCTTGGACATTTCCAGGGATGGATGGGCAAGGTTAAAATCCAGGAAAATTCAGTTGTTACAATCCTCAGCTTTCCACAAGTACCATCATCATCATCATCATGATGCACTTCCTCTTTCACCCTCAACAGGAAAAAAAATAAAAATCATTGCTCCCAGTTTTACCACCAGCACAAAAATTTCAATTAAAAAGATGAACAAGTCTCTCACCTATCTCCTCAATATTTGGGAATTGAAAGTTCACTGTGAGAGGATTTGGAAAGGAGCAATTGTGATGTGGGTGAAGGAAAAGAAGGGAGGAGTTCACAGTGGGAATCCTCTCAGGATCTGGGAAGAGGGTCTAAAACCGTGCTCAGAGACCAGCAAGGCTTAGAAACAAAACCACAACAGCCAGGCCCTGCCTAAGGGATTAAAAATCCCGAATTTTGGAAATAACAGTCCAGTGAAGGAGAAAAAAATAATACAAACAGAACGCAGAACTCCCAAACTTGAACAGAGAAAACATCTCCCCACGCAACGAAAATCATCTGTAGCTGCAAGAAAGCTTAGACTTGGTAACCTCAAATGTAGGAAGAGTCCTGAGCTGAATTATTTCTGTCCCTTAATTATTATTTACACTAAAAAGGGCCTGAGCACCTCAGTCACAGCCAGGTGTGTCCCGAGCCAGATGTTTTAGAGCCCTTTTTTTGGGTATTTTAATACATAGCCAGTTACACCCCTTTTTTATAGGCAATTCACAGCCTCTTTTTGGGTATTTTAAATGGAGGGGAGGTGAGTGATTAACACGTTTCAACTCGCTCCCAACCTCCTGTACAGAGGGAGGAAAATTACACATGTGCAAAATGTAAAGAAAAATAAAAGGGAGGGGGAAAGGGGGGGTAAAAGGGGAAAAAAGAGGGATGACAGGAAAAAAAAGGGGGGGAAAGGGAGAATGAAGGGGAACTTCATCAATGAGCTCAGAGATCTTTTCCAACCTAACTGGTTCAGTGGTTCTGGGGAAAGAAATAGGAGGTGAAGGGGGGAAAAAAACAAAGAGAAAGGGGAGATAAAGGGGGCATGAAGAGGAACTTCATCAAGGTTGGACTCGTTTATCTCTGAGGCATTTTACAATTTAATTGATTATAGGGGGGAAAGGGGAGATGAAGGGAAAAAATGGGGATGAAGAAAAAAAAGGGGTGTAAAGGGAAAAAAAAGAGGGGGTCAAAGGAAAAAGAAAGGGAGGTTAAAAGAAAAAAAAAGGGAGGGGTGAAGAGTAAAAAAATGGGGGTGAAAGCAAAAAAGTGGGAGTGAAGGCAAAAAAAAAGTGGGTGAAGGCAAAAAAGGGGGAGGGGGTGAAGAAAAAAAAAAAGGGAGGGTTAAGGGGAAAAAAAAGGAGGGATAATAGAAGGGAAAAAAAAAAAAAAAAAAAAAGGGGGGGGGGGCCAAAAACAGGAAGAAAGCAGGGGCTCCGAGAAGAGCAGGAAAAAAGGGCGAAGCAAAAGCCCCGCCAATGTCTGCGGCCGCGGCCCAACTTCCCCGCCCGGCCGGGCCCGCCTCAGCCCGGCCCGGGGCTCCGAGGCCGCCCCGCACCCGCCGCCCCCCGGCCCTCGCTCCCTCCGCCCGGCGGCGGCGGCGGCGGCGGAGGAGGCCGGGGACAGCGAGAGGGGGGGAGCGGGACGTATGGCGTCATAGCGCCGCGCCGCCGCCATCTTGAGGAGGGCGAGGGCGGCGGGGGCGGCCATAGGCGGGAGGTCGGCGCCATGTTGGGGAGGGCGTGAGGGGCCGGCGCCATCTTGGGAAGGTCGCGGCCGTTCCCGCCTCAGGGGCGCTGAGGGGCCTCGGCAGAGCGGGAGCGCTGCTAAAAAAGGGTTTGGCCTGGAAATGCAGGGAAAAGCCGCTGGAAATAAATTTATCTTGGAGGTATTTGTGGTGGGAAAATCCAGTTTAAAATGGAAGTTATGGAAAAATAAATTTAAAATAGATTTTTTTTTTCTTTTCCGTATTTTTGGTGGGGAAAATCAGTTTAAAATTGATTCCCTCCCCCCACTATTTTTGGTGGGAAAAGCCAGTTTAAAATAAAAGTTGCGGAAAAAACAGTTTAAAATAA